CGGATAAGCAAAGGATGGACCATGCAATATGTCTCACTGGGAAAACCAGCTAACTCACAAAAAAAAAAAAAAAAAAAAAAAAACAGAAATAGTGCAAATTCCAGGTGAATCAATCATGAAACTGGATCAGAACTGGAAAAGCAGAAGGAATATTGGAATAAAACATGCAGAACATCCTTATGGCCACAGAGAAGGGAAGGTGCTTTAAATAACAATCGAACACAGGGATTAAACGAAGTGATGGGTAGGTCTGAACAAGCCGGACCTTAAAACTTCCCCGAGATAAACACTCCACAGACAAAATCAGACAAACAACTCCCTGGAAGGCTTGCCATGCAGAAGGTCGAATGGTAAGAAATTCACATGCCTGTGGGTCCAAGTCCATCAAAAGTTGGCAAATGTTCTGCCTGATGTAATGGATAAAATGATTACTATTTGTAAGATAATGAATTCTTTTAATTCAAGAAGGAACAAACGATAATAAATAATCTAATTTTTTTAAGATTTATTTATTTATTTGAGAGAAAGAGAAAGCGTGTGCACAGCAGGGGGACAGAGGAGAGAATCCCAAGCAGACTGCACTGAGAGCGGATCCCGACACGGGGCTTGATCTCACGACCCCAAGATCACGACCTGAGCCGAAACCAAAAGTCGGACGCTCAAACGACAGCACCACCCAGGTGCCCCAATAATCTAATTTTTTAAATGAGCAAAGGATCGGAAAGGCTAGCTCACTAAAATGAACACCACAGACATCTTCTCTGTGTCTTTTATAGAGGCTACCTCAAGTAATAGCAGATGAATGGAAAATACAGTCAAGGGAGATTCCACTTTTCATCCACCCACTCGCAAAAATGGAAAGCCGCCAAGCATCAAGCGAGAGAGCGAGTGGAGCTCAAGGCCACAGGGTGCAGGGTGGGAGCCGGTTCCTGCTCCCCACTCAGTGGAGCCCACGTCCGCGAGGGTCCAGGGTCCGTGGTGCGTGTGCTTCTCACAGGTCTTCCAGGCCTTGACGACACAACACACACGCAGTCCGTTGGAGGCCGTCTCCACCGCCGCACATCGGCCCCCTTGTCTCACAGGGGTTTCCAAAGCCCAGGGTGAGAATCCCAGCTCCCAGTACACCAGCCCCGGCCCCGAGCATCTGGCTCTGAAGCACCAGACATTTTTACATGTTGTCTTGGAACTGCTATTCTTCCGAATGTCTGCAGGAGCCTCAGAAATCCAGGCCACTGTCTTACAGGCCCGTCAGAAGCTTTTGTACGACACTCTGCACATATTTACTAAGGGAGAGATGAGCCCTTGCTTCTCCGCTACTCGCCCATGTACACTCAAGTTCACCAGCCTCTCTGGGTTCCCAGTAACCGGCTACACAGACAGGAGGGGACCGGAGGCCCCAGGACAGGGCAGCCTGCCCTAACATTCACTGCTCGGCCACGTTGCTCTCTGACTTGTTGGTCCTCACTGCCCCCATGTCCTAGGGTTGTAACACGGCATCTGGGCACAAAGCAAGCACTTACCACGTGTATCTACCGATCTGCCATCTACCCAAGTCTTTATCAGTAATCACTTAGTATACTATGGACTGTGATGGCCTCACAGATAGGACGCCCCCCCAGACTGTGAGCCCCTCACAGAGAGGACGCCCCCCTCAGACTGCGAGCCCCTCACAGACAGAACTCCCCCCTCTGACCGTGAGCTCCTCACACACAGGGCACAGCTTTCTCATCTTCTCATTCTAACAGGTGCTTAACACACATTTTGTTTACTGAAGGGGAAAAGTCATCATCCCATCTTCCTTACAAAACTCCCTCATTCCACGTGCCTCTCCTTGTTGCTCCCTTTCTCAATCCTCATCTCCTCAGATTCCTCCCAAGAGGGTCCCTCTTTGCGGCATTCCTTCATTCTCTGTCACTTTTCCATTCCAGTCTGTTCTCTCCTATTCCACGATAAGATCCAGGCAAAGCCTTTCCAACGGGATCACTTCTGCTTGGTCTGACCCCGCACCCTCCCAGACCATCTCCCTCTGGGGCAAAATCCCCCAGAACTCACATCTCTCAACACCTGCTCAAAACCAGAACACCAACATCACCTGTACCATGGCCTTCCACTGCCTTACCTAAAATATGACCAGGCTGGGTTCATAAAAGCAACATCAGTGAAAACTGAACCATTTTAAACCACCCGAGGGAACCTGGTGGAGCAGTGAGAACAGGCTACCACAGTGCCCAGTAGGGCATTAGGTGGCGAGGGCACAGAGCTGGGGTGCCATCAGCAGGGTTCTGGGTGGCATGGTGTGAGCCACAAGCACACGCTGAGCCCCATCACCACCCTCACTGCCATCTCTGCCTTTCCCTGTAAGGTTCCAGAATAAGGATTAAGAAAGGCTCTATGTCAAGCATCACAGCTTTGTAAAAATGAAGCTTTTTCTTCTAATCTCGCCACATATGAAATAGGAGGTAAAACGGGGTTAAATGTGGAAGTAAGGGACTTGAAGGTCAAGAATGAGCCAGAACAGGAACAGCAAAAACAGGAGCCTGAGTCACAGAATACACCCCTACCCTTCTCTACCATCACCATCACCACCAGCAGCACCATCATCACATCACCGTCAGCACCACCACAACCAGCATTATCACCAACATCACCAGCAGCAGCAGCATCTTCCTCCTCATCACCATCATCATCTTCATCACCATCGTCATCACCGTCGTCATCTTCATCACCACCACCATCACCACGATCATCGTTACAATCAGCATTATCACCAACACCATCAATACCACAACCGTCATCAATGTCACCATCATTATATCACCATCACCACCACAATCAGCATTATCACCAACACCATCACCAATTCATCACCATGATCATCATTACCACCAACACCATCATCAATACCACAACCGTCATCAACGTCACCATCATCGTCATATCACCACCACCACCACAATCAGCATTATCACCAACAGCACCAGCAGCAGCAGCATCTTCTTCCTCATCACCATCATCACCTTCATCACCATCACCACGATCATCATTACAATCAGCATTATCACCAACACCATCATCAATATCACAACCGTCATCGTCACCATCATCGTATCACCATCACCACCACAATCAGCATTATTACCAACACCATCACCAATTCATCACCGTCATCATCCCCAGCATCATCACCGTGATCATCATTACCACCAACACCATCATCAATACCACAACCGTCATCAACATCACCATCATCGTCATATCACCATCAGCACCACAATCAGCATTATCACCAACACCATCATCAATATCACAACCGTCATCGTCACCATCATCGTATCACCATCACCACCACAATCAGCATTATTACCAACACCATCACCAATTCATCACCGTCATCATCCCCAGCATCATCACCGTGATCATCATTACCACCAACACCATCATCAATACCACAACCGTCATCAACGTCACCATCATCGTCATATCACCATCAGCACCACAATCAGCATTATCACCAACGTCACCAGCAGCAGCAACAGCATCTTCCTCCTCATCACCATCATCATCTTCATCACCATCGTCATCACCGTCGTCATCTTCATCACCACCACCATCACCACGATCATCATTACAATCACCATCACCACCAATGCCATCACCAATGTTACCACCATCATCATCACCAGCATCATCATCATCTTCACCACCACCACCACCACCATCACTAACACTACTGGACGCTTTCTTGAGCCAGTCCACGTTCTGTGTGTTCCACGTGTACTTAATCTGTTATTCACAGTAACTCTAAAGGAAAATTCAAGCACAGGGAGGGTCCTTCCACAGGCCCTGTTCGCCTGACAATGTCACCGGGGTGCCCATCATACAGTTGCGTTTGGAGCCTTCAGAGTGATCCCTTAAGACAAGAGCACTGAGTCATGCAATGCAAGACCTCTCCAGCCTGCGCAGCAGCTCGTGGGGGCCAGGTGACGGGGAGCCCCCCAGGCCCTGACACAGGCTGCCTCCAGGGAGAAGGGAGGGGGCCCACACATCCAGAAAAGGACACAGAGACACTGGGGGGTCAGGTAGGGGAGGGCCCCGCTGACAGGCCCCCTGCGGCCGCGGTGGGAAGGAGTGACCGAGGTGGTGGCATGCTCATGGCCCTGGGAGCACCGTCAGCAAGAACGACACAGGACCCTTAGGTGGAGCAGCCACACCAGCCCGCCCACTCTCAGGCCCTTTTCCTGCAAGAGAGACCTTAGAGGCCCGGGTCCCCCCTCACCCCGCTGAAGTCTGACCCTCCTCCCCTGCGGCCCCACCCCAAAGCAGCCTGCAGGGACTGAGTACGGGGGTCCTCAGGGAGAAAGGGGAGCCAAGAGGCAGTCCCAACACCACAGAAGCCCACTGGCGACACCACAGGGCCACCCTGTGCCTCCTCCAGGGCCCGGTCCCCCAACCTGCCTGTGCTCTGTGACGCAGACCCCCAGCCCCCAGCCGGGATTCTAGGGCTCAAGGGAAATGAGCAATGTTGTTCTCACAGGCCCACTCTCCGGATTTATTAACATGCAAGCACACGACTGCCTGGGGCTTGAGCATCAGAGCCCTGACACCAGGCTGAAGGGCCCGCCAGGCGAGCCCTGACCCCGAGTTGCAGAACATGCCATTGTACACTCACTAAGAGGTCAGAGCACAAGACTGAATAACCCAAGTCACGGACCCCCCAGCATAGACGGAGGGCAAGTCACAGCCGCTCACTGCTGTCCCCTCACCCACGTCAGCAGCTTTGCTCCTTCTGGAAAAGTTTCCTCCTGAGCACGAATCCCGGTAAATACAGTCGGTCCCTGCCCCAGGAAGGGTGGGGGGTAAACACCAGCTCGGAAGGGGAATTCCATGATTTAACTTTTGGAAACTCCCAACTCCCGAAAGAAGCTTTTCATTTGGGTTTTTGTTTGTTTGTTTGCTATGTTTTGGTTTCATTAGCAAGGGAATGATAAACGTGCACTCACCTCGGCATGAAATCCCTTGGCTGTCAATAATCTGCTTGCAAACCCCACAGACCTTGGGTTTCTTAAAGGCTTTGTTCTTAAAACTGTGCAGACTCGTTAATTCTTCTGGCTGAAAAAACGAAGGGAGAAACTGTCAGCTCCACGATTCATAGTTTGTTTGCTTTTTCTTTTCTCTTTCAGGAAATAAGGCGTCTAGCAGAGTTTGGGAAGAGCTAAAAAAGGAACTTTACCCGTTCAACAGAGAAGAACAAGAAGCCATCCAGCCAACGCTGGGATTCCCCAGGGGAGCCTCAGATACCCCGTCAGCATTCTCGATGCCAGAGTCCCAGAGGGAAGCTCACACCCCCTTGCCCCCTGGCTTGCAAATCCCCTTATAAATGGGTGAAGAGCGTCAGGAGCGCGGCACTAATCAACGCTGATAATGTGATCCTGTATTAGCTTCCACCGACATCCATGACAAAGTAATCCATAGGCAATCCCAGAATCTTAATGCTTCCTCTGGAAGCAATGCTCAGCAAACAGCACAACCGTGTTCAGAGGAAGCTTGGTGACTGATTCTCCCGGCCCCTGGGCCTCTCCAAGTGAATGTGCACCTCTGCGGACCGAGAAGCAGTCATGTAAGACCAGTGTGTTAAGATATGCGGTTCCTCCCTAAACCCGGCACAGCACTGAATCCACGACACACACGGGTACTAGGAATACCTGAACCACTCATCTACCTGGTTTACAGGGTCAAGGCTCACGGCTGTATCCGATCATCTTACAGAAATTCAATTTGCCTTAGAAACCAAACACCATCGTTCTACCCCATTGGTGATATTCGGCAGTGTATCTTCCCAGGGCCTGGATCCACTGAGGCCCATACTTACCACCAGAAGCAGCCACAATTCCCTGGAAGATTAAATGTTAGCCAGAATGGGAAACAAATGTACAACTATAGTTTCTTACACATGTTTTTAGAGCTACACCAATGCTGTGACTCAGCAATTCCACTCCTGGAGACACCCAACAGAAGTGAATGCATATGCCCACAAGAGTCTTGTGCAAGAATGGGCAGAGCTGCCTTATTTAAAAATGTCCCGAACAGGAAATAACCCAAATGTCCATTAAAAGGAGACTGGATAGAGGCGTCTGGGTGGCTCAGTCGTTAAGCGTCTGCCTTCGGCTCAGGTCATGATCCCAGAGTCCTGGGATTGAGTCCTGTATCGGGCTCCCTGCTCCGCGGGAAGCCTGCTTCTCCCTCTCCTACTCCCCCTGCTTGTGTTCCTGCTCTCACTATGTCTCTCTCTGTCAAATAAATAAATAAAATCTTTAAAAAAAAAAAAAAAAAGGAGACTGGATAAACAAACTGTGATATATTCCTATGACGGAACACTGTTCAGGTACACGCAAGAGCTTGCTACCATTACACACTACTAATCATGAATGAGCACCTAAAGCGTTATCGTGCTGAGCAAAAGAACTCTGACACAAAAGCACACAGTGATGACTATTTACATGACGTTCATGAACAGGCAAACCAATCTATCTAGTTCCTCAGAGGCAGGAAAACAGTGAGGTGAGCTCCATGACTGCCCCAGATTCCTGCATCGAGGAAGGTCCCAGAATGCAGAGAAAGAAGGGGACCAGTGTACCACCTGGGATTGAGGAGTAGGTGCTAAGCGTCCAGGCAGAACAGGGCAGCAAGAGTTCACTCACCAGAGCACCACAAAACAGGGCTGCATGGAACCCCTAAGATGTGCACAAGGGCCCTCTGAAACATTAGCCGAGTGCTGATGTGCACATGCGTGTGGTATATGCTCACATCACAGTACAAACTGCCCAAATAAAGCACAGGAAGAAGGGACCACCTAAGTAAACACACAGATCAACAGAGCATCAGCGAGCTGTGGGAAAGTTCAAGCAGCCTAACGCATGTGTAATTGAGGTCTCTGTAAAGAGGGGAGGGGAATCATTGAAAATATAATGCCTAAAACTTTTCCAAAATCTGAGCGAAACTATAAACCCACAGACTGAAAAAACTCCATAAATCCCAAGTACAAGAAATGTGGCAGAAATGACACCAAGGCACATGATAATCACACTGCTCAAACCCAGTGATACACAGAAAATCGCAAATGCCTCCAGAGGAGAGGAAAAGACACATTACGACAGGAGACCAACCATTAGCACAACAGCAGATTTCTCATGGAAAATAAATCCAGTGAGAAAACAGTGGAGAGATTTAGAGTGCCAAGAGAAATTCTGCCACCCTGAAATTTTGGACCCAGCAAACACAGCATTCAAAAATTAAAGTGAATTTAAAAATTCTTATGATATGCAAAAGCTGAAATATTTCATCACCAGCTGACACATACTACAAGACAAGTTAAACATAGTCTGAGCACAAGGAAAATGATCACAACTGGAAAGACAGCTTTACACAGAAGGAACAGTGCCAGAAATGGTAAGTATGTAGATATATACATAAGATTTTCTCCTATTATTAAAAGTTCACTATAAAATAATTAACTGTTGAAGCAAAAACTAATAACGATGTAAAGTGAGGTTCAACAGACATAAAAGTAAAATTTATGATAAAACAGCACAAAGCCAAGGAAAAGAGAAATGTAAGCATTCTACTGCAAGGCTCTCATACACTATCATGTGAAGCAGGCTGTGATAAACTAGAGAGATGTACTATAAACCCCAAAGCAACTACTAAAATAATGAGTGATAGGTAATAATCCAACAAAACAGATAAAATGAAATTATTTTTTAAAAAGTTCAACTAACCTAGGGGTACCTGCCTGGCTCAGTCGGTAGAGCATAGGACTCTTGATCTCAGGGCCATGAGTTCGAGCCCCACACTGGGTGTAAACATTACTTAAAAATAAAATCTTTAAAACATTAAAAATAAAAGTAAAAGTTCAATTAATCTATACATGGCAAAAAAGGGAAAGTAGAGCAAAGACTAGGTGAGAGAAACAGAAAACAAATAGCAAGATGATAGATTTAGACCTCACCATATTAGTAATCACATTATATAAATAGTTTAAATGCCTTAATTAAAAGGCAACAGTTGTCAGATTATATTCCTTTAAAAAAAGAAAAAAGACAGAAAAAATACACACGGATAATGTTAAAGGAAAGTTGGAGTGGCTATATTAATATCAGACAAAGTCGATTCCAGATTAAAGAATGTTACCAATGATATGGAGAGGGATTTCACAATAAGAGGGTACATGCATCAAGAGAACATATAATCATAAACATGTATGCACCTATTAACAATACTTTCAAAATACATAAAGCAAGAAATGATAGGATTGCAAAGACATAAACAGGCAAATGTGTAAATATGGTCAGAAACTTATTTATCCCTCTCTTACACTGAACTATGTCCCCATGAAATTCATATGTTGAAGACCAAACTCCCAATATGACTGTATGGAGAGATGGAGCCCTTAAAGAGGTGATTAAGGTCAAATAAGGTCATAAGGGTGGGCTGCTAATCCGGTAGGACTGGTGCCCTTACAAGAAGAGGAAGAGACATCTGGGGGGGCTTGCACACTAAGGAAAGTCCATTTGAGGAGGACTCAGCGAGAAGGTAGCCATCTACAAAAGAAGGAAAAAGGCCTCAGGAAAAACGAAGCCTGTCAACACCTTGATCTTGGACTTCCAGCCTCCAGAACTGTAAGAAAATAAATTTCTGTTGTTTAAGTCCCCCAGTCTGGCATTTTGTTATGGCAGCCCCAGAGAGCTAATATACCCCTGCCCAATGACTAATAATTATTTTTATCAATAATAACTGATAATTATTGCAGAAAATAATCAAAGATACATAAGATTTGAACAACATTCTCAAAAGACTTGACCTAATTGACAATGACAGAACATCTGACCAACAGCAACAGAATACACATCCTTTTCAAGTGCATATGGAATGTTTACTGAAGCAGACCACAGCCTGGGACATAAAACAAGTCCAAATAAATTTACAAGTATTCAAACCATACTAAATATGTTCTCTGATCACAATGGGATTATATTAGAAACCATAAAAGAAAAGAAAGAAAACCAAAAAAAATTCCCCAAGTATTTAGAAACTAAACAACACACTTCTAAATAATACATCATAGCAAACAGGATTTATCCCAGGGAGGCAAAGTTGGTTTAACATTCAAATACCAATCAGTAAACTAAAAAAGAAACCTACTGGGGCACCTGGGTGGCTCAGTCGTTAAGCATCTGCCTTCGGCTCAGGTCATGATCCCAGGGTCCTGGGATCGAGCCCCGCATCGGGATCCCTGCTCGGCGGGAAGCCTGCTTCTCCCTCTCCCACTCCCCCTGCTTGTGTTCCCTCTCTCGCTATGTCTCCATCTGTCAAATAAATAAATAAAATCTTTAAAAAATAATAAAATAAAATTAAAATTAAAAAAGAAACCTACACAAGCTTTCAATTAATCGGGGGGGGGGGCGGAAACTCTGACAAAATCCAATATCCATTTCCTGATAAACACTCTCAAATCAAAATAGAGAGACACTTCCTCAACTTGGTAAACTCCACCGTAAACCCCAATTTAAGGACAACAGACTGAATGCTTTCCCTTTAAGCTCCGGAACAAGGCAAGGATGTCTGCAATCAACATTTCTATTTAACATTGTCTTAGAGGTTCTAATCAGTGCAATTGGGCAAGAAAAATAAATAATAGGTATCTAGTTTCAAAAGGAAGAAGTGAAACTGTCTTTAGTCACTGATGAAACCACTGACTATAAAAAAAAAATTCCATGAAATGTACAAAAAAGCTCTAGAACTAACAAGCAAGTTCAGCAAAGTTGTAGCACAGGAGCTCACTGACTGTACAAAATGTATGTCTACATCCTAGCAATAAACATTCAGAAACTGAAATTCAAAGAACATTACCATTCACAGTATCATCAAAAATATTAAATCCTTAGAAATCAGTCTAACAAAAGATGTGGAAGGCCTATAAAGTAAAAAATGTAAACCATTTCAGAAAGAAAGTGAGGAAAACCTACAGAGGCAGAGGGATATACCATGTTCATGGATGACAAGACTCGCTTTAGTCAAGATGCAGTTTCTTCCATCAAATCGACAGATTCCACACCATCTGAATGGAAATCCCAACAGGCTTTTTTTGTAATTGGCAGATGGGTTTTAAAATTCAGGTTTACATTCAAAGCACAAAACAACTTTGAAGTTTGCACATATTCTAGTGTACAATTTGATTAAGTATTCAGACCCCAACTCCTTCCTCCCTGACCTAACTGACATAACTGATCATTCACAGCTACCATCCCCCCTTGGCCTTACAAGGGACTGGAACTGGCAAAGGGGTGATTCCAATGTGAACACGAGCTTTGGCTGTTCTCATCTTCCCTGCTATTTGAGCTCTCTGGAGTGCGGGCAGCTTACAGCTTTCCACCTGACCAGCTCTAGTCCTCCTCTCCCCTACATCCCACCTGACCACTTCCAGTTCCTCCAAAGTCTTTGCCACATCATCAGGCATCTCGTGGTGTTTATGTGGATCTTGTCAAGCCTCTCTAAGGAGGCGAAGTGTCACGCACCAAGCAGGACTCAGCTTCTGCTGCCTGCAGTATGAGCTCTGGGACCCCGTGCAAGTCACTAGGGACCTGGGGACACAGAGGATACTTTCCCCTCCTGCCTGTGAATGGAGCTACTGTAAATGACCAAATGCTATATATACACCAGGCAGGATTTGTGTGCACCAGCCACCCATGGGAATCACTCCGTCAGCTTTTGAAAACACTCTCTCAAAACCCCGCCCAGACCAGTTAAAACAGATCATCCGGAGGTGAGGCTAGAATACAAACTTTTTTTTCAGAACTCACCCCGTGATTCCAATCTGCAGCCAGGACCGAGAGCGACCACTACATAACGGACTATACTATAAGGATCCTGCATAAACATAAGGCACTGTTGGTATATCCCTGTTCATCCGTTTGCTACAGGTTTTTGCGAGACACTAAACTTTTGGGAGAGCAGGGCTCCTGCACTCAGTGCCCACAAGGGAGGGACGACGGTGTTCCTCCCGTGAAACTCAGGACACCGGCAGGGTCCTTCTGTGCCGTAAGCATGACCACCGCGGACCCACAAACACAGATGGGAGGACTCGAAACAGAAACCACAGAGCCGAAGTTAAAGGCTGCGGGCTCAGACCCTGTCTCCACCCGTCTCACACTCAGACAGGAGCAGGCATTCAAGCATCTGAAAATACAGTCCTCATGGCAATGCCCCACTTGGCACACACTTTCCCCCCTCGTGTGTGAGTTATTTGTTTATCCACCTTCTCTCCGATGCTCCATTGCAATGTCCCAGAGGCAGGATACAGGGCTCTCATCCATGTGTCTCTGAGCCCCTCTGCACAGTGCCTGGCAGACAGAGAACCTGAGACCCTCAATTAACGTTTGTTAACAGGATGAATTGGCCCTAGTCTTCGGGCCAACGGGGGACACTGTGACCTTTTATTCCTTCCAAATACCTTTATTCCAACCAGGGAGAAAGAGGCACTGTGTTCTGAGATTTTCTTGCCCGCTGGGCCACAGCTAGAAGGCTGGAGGGTAAACAGCAGAGGTGTTGGGGAGGGGGGGAAGCTTGAAGCCCAATCTGTCCCGGCCGCATCCCCGAGGAACTCGCCCCGGATAGTGTAATAACATCTGCTCACGCTTCATCTGTACAGAACATCTCCATTGTGAAATGAGCTAGACGGGATTAGACGGCCTTTGTTCTCACCTGATACCGTGCTTTCATTTCACCCAGAGAGGTGGGGCCACAGAGTGCACGGGGGAGGGGAGGCTTCCAAGCTGCAGCATTTAGCAGGCTCAGTTCAGGAATCTAAATTGCATTTAATTGTTAGGAGCAGACAGTTGGAAGGGCAGTGAGCAGGGCTGCCCGTTCCACAAGGACTCCCGGAGGGGTACCCGGTAATTAGTGCTGGTCTTGATTGTGAGGTCTCTTTTTAGAAAGAAAAATCTCTGCAAAACTGAGCAAGGAAAAGCTCCATGTGAGCGCGGGAGGGTACAGCTCTGCTCGGCTCTACAGAAATGCAAAACTGCACAGAATTCTCTGTGGGTTCTCTGGGCTAATGTTACAGTAGCAAAACAGTGACCCACACACAAAACAGCTTGACCCACAGTAAATCAGCACAGACCTCGCTGTTTTCCTCCCGGGGAAAGACGATTTAGGCGTGAGTTCTGGTACCTGGGAAACCGGCAGGCGGCATTCCAGGGAGCAGACCCAGGGCAAAAACACAAATCAACTTGACCCTGAAGTTAAAGGGCCACAAAACCTTCCTGCATGGACAGAGTAGCCCCTAAACCTCTGGGATGACGCCCACAGAGGTCTCCACCCTTTCGCAGCCCAAGGACACAGGCGTCCAGACACCCTCCCCACACCACACACTGTCCCAAGCTCCCCAGCAACAGCGTTTGGCTGTTAAACTGATTATCAGAATGCAGGGCGACCGAAGGGATGTGAAGTGGCTGACACTTCGACTTACTTACTCATTTCTCAGAACCTTAGAAAAGTTTCCGGGAAACGAATGCAATAAATGCCTAATTATTAGGCTCAGAGAAAGGGCTGCTCGAGCCAGGGGGCATCTGCTCGGTTTAATTCAAACGCGGTGGAGGACGGTCCCGTGGACCACGGACTGCAACGTGGCCCTGGCGAGCTTGTGTTATCGAAACACGCCATCAGCACAGAGTTGGGGCCCTTTCCCTTTGAAAGAAATCTGGGCTGCGCCCCCAGTCTACATCAAGGCCAGTGTCCTACTTCCATTCTCCGGAAAAGGAGTCCAAGGAAGCGCGTTCAAAAGGCAGTTGGATTAGAAAGTTAACCCTGAACTCTCCCACTCCACGTGCGTGCGCTCACCCGGGCGCCCGCCTCCCACCAGGCAAAGGCCGGCTTCCCGCTTCCCCTCGTCCTCCCCCGCGCGCGCGCACACAAGGTACTCACGCGCGTGCACAGAACCACGCGCGATTGTGCGCGGACAAGGGCGCACGAGCACGCGCAGGCAAGGGAGCACGGACACACGTGGGCATACGGACACACTCGCACACGCGCGCGCGCATTGCCTCGAAAGCGCTCTGCTCCGAGAGCCCCTGCGCCCCAGCTCCCCAGCTCCGAGCCCCGCGCCCCCGCGCCCCCTCTTCAAGCCCCGCGCCCGGCTCCGAGAGGCCGGCGCCTTCGCGCCCCCTCGGCCCTGCGCCCCCGCGCGCGCTCGCACCCACTCACCTGGCGCGGGTGCCGGCGCGCCCGGGCCCCACGCGCGCACCCTCCAGGCGGCCCCGAGGTCAGGGAGCGCAGCCGCATGGCCGCCCGGGCGCCCGCGGAGAGCTCGGCCCTGGCCAGGCGAGGTCGGCCGCGGCGGGCGCTGACCCCTCTCCCGCGGCGGGGCCGGGCTGGGGTGCCTCCTGGGCCCCTGCGCCTCGAAGTCCCAGGCAAAGTTCGACCCCGGAGACCCGAAAGGGCGCAGCCGGCACCCCCAAGTCCACTCTACCGTCAGAAGTCAGATGCCTGGAACAAAAGCGAGGCGAGCGAGCGCACGGTCCCTGGGCGCCCCTCCATCTGACACGAATTAGCCCTCCCTCCCCCGCCCCAGACCGCAGCTCCACAGAGGAGGCAAAAGGCTTCTCAGCCAGACGCAGGCAAAGTGGAGAAGAAACGCCTCCCAGGGCAGGGCTGGGGGGCAAACCTTCCGCTGCCACCCGACTTAAATTACCCACGCCTTTCGCTGGGGGGGGGGGGGGGGGTCAGCTTGACTAGGATTTCAGACCTCTCCAAGAATGCCAACCGAGGGGCTTAAAGTCAAACCTGCGGGCTCAGGCTTTCAGGATTTTAAAATCTTGACCGTGGTCCAGTAAACCTGCCTCTGTAATGCTCAGTATCATTGGTAATCTACCCTGCTGGCACACCGTGGGTTGGGAGTGCAAAGAAGGAAAACCCCAAGGCAGAAGGGTTCTCTTTCCAAAGTGCCTCCGCAACCAAGGAAACCAAGGAGCCCCTCCTTGCTAGAGAGAGGAGGACCAGCTGTGGGTCCCAGCAGGCTCAAAGCTCAGGATTAGGGTCTTTCCACAGCTGGGGGGCTAGGATCCCCACGCTCTCCTCCTCCTCACCATTCTCAGGGCCAGCCAGCCACTGGAAAATCACACATCCCGTTTTCCTCTCTGGCTCTGTGATCTCGGAAGGGAATTTAAAACCTGGAGCGTGGGAGCTGAAGGTGACCAGGAGGGTGGGGGCAGAGTGTCACATGAAGAGGAAGGCAGACACCTGGAAAGTGGAAGGGTCGCTTAGCGTGAAGGACAGCCCAGAACGAGGGACGGCACGATCCGCAGACAGAAGAGCTCTTTCCTTGAGCGCGTCGGACCCCCGCTGGACCGAAGGGACACGGCTGCCATTGTGGAGCAGTGATCGCAGCTCTGGTAGCTCCTGGGAGGAGGGAAAGGCTGCCTTGATCATGTCTGACTGCAAGAGGAGGGAGCAGAAGGGCTAGGGAGACTTCTGGCCTCAGGCCGCTCTCCTAGTGCCCCCCAGCCACGGGCCCCTGGTGACCTGGCCTGCTCTGTGCCCAGCGGGAATGCACCGCGCTCAGACCTGGGTCGGGCCAACACTCTGACTTCCTTCCCATCTTTGATTCCGTGAGCAACTCCAATGTCTTAGCTTTGGAAGCAGCTGGGTGGGCTTGGGCTAGAGCGAGGTCTTTATGGCTAACACATGTGCGAATTCCAGTGGTGGATTCAAGGCCAGAATTAACCTCTCGGGTTCTGGCACGGAACATCCATCTTCCCGTTTCTGCAGGGGAACGGCAAGGCTCTTGGACTTTCAGCCACAAAAAAACAAACCAACCAACCCAGCATCACGCCATTCGGGTGCAGACACCCATTTATTCTCATGGCTCCCCCCCCTCAACTTAGGTCACTAGTCATCTTTCTCTTCATTCATTCATTTTCGAGATTCATTCATCGCTTACTCACTTTTCCGGGGCGGATTCAGACTTTTTAGTTTTGCAAACACTTCTCAGTCCTGTTTCTACTACATATGCCTCTCCGCCCACGGAGTGACACAGGACCCGAGATACCATCTGTGTCAAACGTGTTTCTGATTCCCCGACAGCAAACACAAGATGGGGCACGGAGCCGTGTCTACAAGCCGAGCTAGAAGCATGTCATTCCGCTATCTGGGGGCGCACAGCACACACACTTTTTCCAGAAACCAGCTGGATCTACTGCCAGCCTTACCCACAGAACCAGCAGAGGGGACGTGAATCCCAGCAAGCAGGAGACCCCTCCCCAACGTGGTAAAGTTCCCCAACGTTGAGGCCGGACTCCCCACTCTGTGGGGGCCCCTGCATAGGACTGTCGAGAGCGCAGGAACATCCCAGGCCTGCAGATCATGAGACAGATGCTTGTTTTCATAGGGACACCCCAAATCTCTTATTTAAAAGTCACCTCGTTCGGGCAGCTGGGGGGCTCAGTCCGTTAAGCGTCTGCCTTCGGCTCAGGTCATGATCTCAGGGCCCTGGGATCGAGCCCCGAGGCGGGCTCCCTGCTCAGTGGGGAGCCTGCTTCTCCCTCTCCCACTGTCCCTCTGTGCTCTCTCTCTTAAATAAATAAATAAAATCTTTAATAAATAAATAAATAAATAAAAGTCACCTCGTTTAGTAAATTGCCGCACTTTCTTACTCCTCGTGGATCAGATGCATGTGGTCCACATCACAGACGACAACCAACAGGTTGTCACAACGCCCGGGTGAGACTCAGCAACCCAGACAGGGTCTTTGGGTCGAAGGCCAGAACACGACAGCCCAAAGGAACTTCCCCGAACGCAAAACTGGGAGCCCTGCAGGCTGCCCTATTCTCCCGCCGGCCTCCCCCAAGCCCTCCTGCAGCGTCCCCCAGCCTGTGTGCACCCCGAGGCTCCTGGGCTCTGTGCCCTGGTGAACGCTGGGGCTTCGCTCAGGCCTTCTCGAAGTTTTCCGATTCTCCTTTGGGGCTGAAAACTGCTGCCTTCCTGGGCTCAGCCCAGGACCCCTCTCCTGCCCGGCCTCCCCGACTGCTCACCAGCCCTCACCCAAGCCCACCTCCATCCCCGGGCCTTCTGTCTGTGCCTCATCCGTCCAGCAAGATCTAACCTTTGCCTGGGGTTTTCCGCACGCAGACCGAGTGGGGACAATAAATGCTGGGCAGGAATGAAAGAAAGCTGCTTTCCATGACGTCAATGCTGGTTACTCAGTCTGTCTCAGCTCACCCTCTGCCCGCCTTGGGAGCAGGCTGAAGCACAAGGATCTGGGGGCAGCTCAATCTGGGGATCCCTGGGGAACTCAGAAGCCGGGGCAGGTCCTGTCCTCCGGGCACAGACGGCCCCACCTCACCAGGTTCTCACCCACAGCCCGGTCTGCCCCTCATAAGGCCACAGCCGCCTACCATGGGCTTCTGGCTGCATGAGACCCCAGGAAAGAAGCGGTTCGTCCTGCAGAGGATGGGCTTTGGGGATTCCGCCGGCCAGTCCTCGAGGGCAAGCTCCAGCTCCCGGGCCGCATCACCCACCTGGGGCTGGAAGCCCAGACCAAACTGGGGACAGGAGCCCACACCAAGGCCGACGCTGATACAGGATTTGGGGCTCACGGGGGGAGGGCAGGCCTGCTCAGACCCCGTGGGTCCACGCACTCACACTTGCTCATCGGTCCAGAAACATCCCTCGCAAACACAGATGGAGAAAGTTTCAGGAAACGGCTGGTGTGGCCCACGGTTTCCATGGAGACACAGACTCAGACGGACACACACGTGCACACATCATCTCCCACATTAGCAGTGGTCACACCCAGCGCCCAGCGCTCGATTTACAATCCGATTTCCCAGCAAAAGAAACAGAGAAGGCTGGCCATGCAACTTTGTCACAGGGTCGGAGTGACTGGGCCCAAAATCCATGGCCCCCGGGAGCGGGATGCGCCCTGGCTCCAGCCGTGGCATCTGCGGTGGGGTCACCAAGCACTCTGGGCGCAGAGCGCCTGTCTTCACCACCACCGCCAGCACACATAGCACTGTCAAAGGCCAGTCACTGGTCCACGGCCGGTCCACAGCTGGCCCGTGGCTCCATGACCCCGAGTGCCAGAGAGCTTTCAAGAGCCACCTGAGGTACTTTTAAAAGCACTTGGCCTCTGGAGATGGGAAAGACTCGTTTCAGGACTTGGAGACCCGTGAGCTGTTGGCAGCTCTCATCTGCAGAGGCCTCTGTGCATGTCTTCCCTGCTGGTGTGGGGACAGGGACGCCGGCCATTCTGGGCATCGGAGGCCCGAGGTCCATCTCCGTGGGCCGGTCTCGCACCCAGGCCTTTCTCAAGCACGGACCTGGGGCAAATCCTGGCTCTCACGACATTCCTCTTCCTCCCTTCCATGCTCACCCTGCTCCATCCTGCCACCAGACGGGGCAGGATCCAGTGAGCCCCCTCAGGGCACTAGCCACTTCAGTACTTCCTAACTCGGCAACACCCAGGGAGCCCTGAATGTCCCGCTCACTGACAGCGACAGAGCCTGGCCCCAGACAATGCCGGGAAGGGGAGATGGGCCACTAGACAGAAGGGGAAACTGAGTCCCGGGGCGTCCAGGGATGCACGGGGACCCAGAGCACTGGAGAGCCAGAGAGCTGGCTTGCAGTGTCCCCCAGGGAGCACAGGTGCATGGCCCCCCAGGGACACTTTTGGGGACAGGGCCAGATCAAAGGTGCTGCGTGTTTGGAACCTGACCCTCGAAGATGGTCAAAGCCTGAGCTACTCAGGGGGGGGATGCAGGACTGGCCGAAATTCCTCTCCAGGCTCTGCCCTTCACATCCCCCGTTCTTGAAAGTCACAGCAGGTGCTCAGGAAACCCATGAGGAACGCCTCAAGGCGGTCATGCCGTGCAGCCCGTGGAACTGAAATGTCCTCGCTGGCGGCAGAGTCCAAGGCAAGTCCCTGCCCGAGCTCACGGCCCGCTCACCACATCTGGTGGCCTTTCTAAGAAACAAGGTGCTGACCTCTGGCATCCTTAGCACAAAGTTTCCCGCCAATGCTGAGAAAAGGGGCATTTGTTTTCATTTCCCCGTGCACTCTCCCCTGTCGTGCATATCCTCCCCACCTTCGAAACGTCCAGAAAAAGGGCTTTCTCGACAAAAGCAACCTCGGATGTGTGGAGGGATGCTTCTCTGCTCAAAGGCAGCAAGTGCTTCATGGAAGACCTGGACCAAAGGAAGGGTGAGATGGAGGGTGGCCCCATCCCCCACCCCCCGCAGGCGCACCCTGCCCTGCCTAGGCTGACCCCTGTCCTCCTGTCTCCACATGGGGACCAGTGGTGGGATGGGACGGGATGACAGAGGAGGGGCTGTGGAAGGCAGGGGAGGGGTCTTGGCTGCTTCACCTGGCCGAGGTAGGGAGACAGGGGGGCAGCCCCCGAGCGTGAGGGCAGGGAGGATGGCCACTGGGGCCGGCAGAACCCGCACAGACCCCTGCATGCCACAGACTCTGGGCTCTTCCAGGTGGACACCACGGCCTCAAATGCAATCCTAAAAGGAGGAAGCAAACCCCACTGGGCATATCTTA